CTTGACACATATATAAAAAATATGTTTCAACGCTAGGTTCAATTCTTTTAATACAAAATACAGAACATATGTTCCAACATCATGTGAAACCAACAAAAAGAATGCATAAATGCATATAGCCATTTTGCATCTTAATGAGATGAGGCTTCCATGGGTTCTTAAATGAGAAAGTTTTACATTCAAAATTTTTATCTAACTTCACTTTCACAACATTTTTTTATCTTCTTTCAAAACTATCACCATCTAGAACCACGTTCAAACATCATAAAGAAATCCAACCCAGCATAATAGAGATCAAAATTATCAATTGTTGCCAAACTTTTCCTATAAAAAAGGCAGCGCACAAAGAGAAAACAAAATGAAATCAATAAGAACCTGTCAAAGCAACAACTAACAAAATTTCAAGATTCTATACTAAACCAATTCACTTTTTTCGAATTCAATGTTGTTTTCCCACATTACTTCAAATCAGATATATCCAAACTCAAATAAATCATATTAACAATATATAAAGGTAAACATATTTGATCATTTCAATGTATAGCATGGATCAGTTTCAATTGCCAAATATCATTAACATTCAATTTATGCAACACAAAACTACCCAGCAGTTACCCAACAATTCCAACTAAGAACTAACCTAACTCAATTTTCCCACCATCCACATCTTCACCACCACTAAACCTCTCATTCTCATCTTGAAACCATAATTGCTATAAGAAACTAAAAATTACACCAACTTATAAAACAATAGCACCACATTGATCATAGAAGACCCATGTAGAAACAATAGCACTGCACTGATAAAAATATCTAGGCCTTCTAAGACTCATTGTTAAGCTCATGAAGAACCATGTGAATCCTTGGAATACCAATGCCAGCCAAAAATGCAGAGGTATTCTAGTTTTCACAAAAAGGAAACAAAATGAAATGAAACACAATAGAAGTAGATAACTTAAAGATTTGAACTTTTTACCTTTAACTTGAAGCAAAAAAGAACTCACCCTTGAACATGGTTCCGCCAAATCGAGTGTTATTTGTTGAGCCTGATTGTTTCGAGGTCAGTAGGTCATTCTAGGATGGTTAGATACTTTATCGTGACGTTTATGTTAATCATGATTTTTTAAGTGTATTTTTTTGGTGCATTTTAAGATGCTAGAAATAAATTTAACTTGTCTCTTTCTTTTACCAAAATATGATCGATTAACTACACTTTATCTCTTACATTATGAGGTTTGTGTCACTTTGCCCCCTCAATAGTCATGTTTTCTATATTGCAGTTTCAAATATAATTGTTAATTTTATATTGTCCCAATGATTTACGTCCATTTAAGATTTGATGGAACATTATTTCACTTTCTTCTCCAAATTATGAGATTTTGTTTCATTTTGTCCCTACACACTGATATTTTTGTCTGAAAAATAACATTCATTTGTATTTTTGGTAGTGTAAAATCAATTCAAATAATTGAGGAGACAATGCGAGAAATTTAATAATTGAGGGCGCTACGAGACAAAAACCCTATAGTTTGAGGGAGCATAGTATAACTAATCCAAATAGGATATATACTACCTTTTTTTCTTAGGCTGATTTATACTATTTATCTATAAATGAATAAAAAACTAAGACAGGCAACCAGTGCATGAAGGCACTTTGCAACCCATGAAATCCAGTTAATTTGATGTAGGTTATTCTTTATTTCACTTAATTAAAGAAAGTTAAATCGATCTAATAAATTTTTTCTGGTCACATAAATCAATCAATCTAGTAATAACTCGATATTTTTTTCAAAATTTCAACATGGTTTCTTTTGAAAATAGGAGACTATAGAAATATCAACTTGCATATAGAATTGAAA